TACTTATTTCCTCATTTATAAAACTCTGTCCAGTGGCTTTGAGTAAATGTCTTTATATCTTTACATTATTAGATTTGGGATTTTTTTCTTTTTGAGTATGTGACTCGTTGAGATCCTAAAAGGACAAGACTGTTCATTATAACCTGTTAGTTTTTAATTTAGAAGTGTTAAATTACATTTGATTAAAGTTCATTAGTTCTCAAGCAAGCAATATGAAAGTAGCGGCTCATGCTCTACAAATCTAATCTTAGTCACTTATTCTCATTGCTGCTACAGTAATAAGATGGGGGTGAATATTCCTTTTTTGCAGTTGATAATACTTCTTTAGAAATTGTGTTAGATCACAGGGATGATTGACGAATTGCTTGGATCAGCTTCTGTTTGCCTGTTGCTGCTTAATTTGCTAGTAATGTTTGAATCTGTCACCTCACATCCCAGCAGTTTCTTTGCTTTGGGCTATTGTGACTGATGACAAAATGCTTTCAAACTAAATCATTTTTAAAAATTCAAATGAAGCTTAGGTGCTTTTTCAGTTTGAAACCACTACGTGTCTGCTGAATACTGATGGAGCCGCTGAAGTCTCGGTACTCTGCATGAAACATAACACCACTCTGCTTTCCACAATAATTATTCCTCAAACCTGAAAGCTGCATGAATATTGTTGCTGCTGAATCCTCTGCCAGGTAGATCAGCAAATTTCCAAACTCCTTTGTGATTTGTCATCATGAAGAATGACAACAAACTTTTACACAGTAGACGTTTGGACATAAATACAAAATGACATAGGCATCGTTCAGCTGTTTGGAAGAGGGTAAGGGTTTTCAGACTCAAATCAGTCTAATTCCATGTTCCTTTTTGTAGGATTAACACACATAGTGCTGAAGTTGCATATTTGCAGAATATGTATTTTCCTCCCTGAACATTACACGATATATACATTCAATATCACATGGTCTCCTATTAACATGTCCAATTATATATCTGTTAAAGTGTTTTAATTTAAAAGTTCTGTAAACGAGACTCCATAGGCATTCTCAGTCATGCTTGAGATTGACTCAAGATAATTGATTTTTTTTGCCAGTTTGTTGAAATTAGCCCTAAAACAAAACAAAAAAAAATAATACTTTTTAGATAAGGTAGAAATTTTATGATAGAAATTTGGGAAAAGGACTTTGATTCTGTACTATATACTTTTCAGGGCAATTTATCAAGGAAGAAGTAGGTTATTAATGTGTAAATTTGTCTTCAATGATTAATAAGATCATTTTTATATTCTAGAGGCTTATTAATACTTTTTAACTGGAAATGATAAGATTTGATTTTTTCAGATAGAAATGTTGTTGGCACTTCTCACACTGCATCCTGCAGTCATCGTTCTAATCATTTTATTCAGATCCTTTGTCTTTTATGTGGGATTTACCTGTTTTCTAGGGATATTCTTCAAATCTGGGCTTATGTTTCTCTTTGTATTTATGACTTGTCCAGGAACAGAAGTTATCAGGATAAAAATTCCTTAATCTTTTTACAGTGTGTTTTTATTCCTGCATCTAGAACTTGAAACTCCATATAGGTTTGCCACGGGGATACCAGGGATCCAAGTGCTTGAGACTCTGCCTGCTTCCACACAGTGTTCATGTTAGCAAGAGCCTGGAATAGGACCTGAGTTACGCCTCAGACATTGCCACTCCGATATCTGCAACCCGAGCATCAGCTTAACTGTGTTACGGCACAATATCTACCGCAGGATGTCATTTTCAAGCTGGTGCAAACAAGTAATTCGGACATGGAATGGAAATGACAAATCTGTGGTGAATGCATTAATTCATGAAGGAATCACTTAGTTGGTAAAGTTGGCTCAAAATCTATTGGAAGAGTGGCTATGGGTTTTTGAAAAGTGAATACTAGAATAAAAACCTGGTTTAGGAACTAATGTGCTTAATATCTCACAAGGCGATAAAATAAAAACCTTTGGTTTTTTTTTTCTGCAGCAGAAATACACAAGTTAATATGTGAATTTCCCAATGATTGCATCCTACTCAAATATTAAGCAAAAAAATCACTGTCAGGAAGGTTCTCCTGTAGACTTAATAATACTCTAGTAGCCTTCTTAAATGATGCTCTAAGGGACACTGGAAGTTTTTGCCATGTTCCTTTCTAATTACCAAGTCGTGGTTAGCTTTTCTTCACAACATACCTGGCTATTACAAACACTTTACTGACACAAATAGCATGTGAAGTTATTTTTTTCACACTTGCGAGAAACTGTGCAGCATGACAGTCGGTAACTGGCCTATGACGTCCAAGCAACCATAACATTGCTGTTCTTATTTTATTGTGCTGTAAAATGAAAAGCTGGCTTAAACTTACTACTAAAATCCCTCCCAACTTTAATATATTGCAATCCTTGAAAGTTGGTGTTATAGCAAAATATCTTGCTCCTTTAACTAGGAAGTGGAGTTAGGCTACAGTGCCCCCTAAAGGTACTCTAAGGCCAACCTTTAGATCCTAGAATCTGAGGGATTTTCAGAAGTTAATCAACACTTCTATTGCAACCTTTGATTCAAGCAGTCAATATATATATTTTTTTTTCACAGAAATTCTTCATCACAAATGGTCATGCAATAAATATTTACTTTCACTCTAGAGTATATTAGTCAACTGGGAAATTCTGTTGATTTTGATGAAACGTGTCTGGGCAGTTCATGGTCCCATGGGTCCAGCGATCAGGATGTTCAGTGATCCAGGATGACTTCATTGGTATGACTGACACTGTTCCAAATATTTGTAATCCTCCACCAGGTTAGCATAGGCTTGTTTTTTATGTCATGTACTTTGAGACATGATGAGGCCACAACTGGAAAATGACACACCATCATTTCCATTTCATACCATTATCAAAAGAAAAGCTAAAGGAGTTTGTGGGGGGAAATGATTCATATTTTGTTGAGGGGATTGTGTGAGATCACATTGTACAAGATAAAAATATGGAGAAATGATGAATTGGTGCTAGTTTTTTTTTTTACCCTATAGCATACTGGACCTGATTCACAGGATTTCTGGAACTTCCAGAGGATACTGGGCACAACTAAGAACTTCAGTGTGCTTACGGTTTGTTCTGGGGTATAGTGCAGTTACTGGAATCATTTTGAGTCTTTATAGTATTATCTTTAAAATTCTTTAGGGAGCAAGAGGTAGTATTTAGGGATATTTATTCATATTATGAGGCAAAGTCCTTCTGGGTTTTCTACCAAATGCTACATGAATATTGATGCTAAGTGGCTCTGTTGATGTGATTGAATCATTCCTGGCTTTGTGTGGACATCAGGTGCTGGGTCCTTAACATATACAGGTAGTTCTTTGTTCTATGTTGAGTAATTACATCACACTCAGAAACTTGTATTTGTTTAGCCAAGTGTTAAATGGTTACTCTCTTTAGATCTTTTTTGGAGTTCTTTCTGTTCAGCATTCTCTCCTCTGGTGGTTTGCTCCACGGAATCTAGCCATCTTGATGTCCTGAGACCGTTAGCTCCATTTCTTCACTTTGATTCTAGGTTCTCCGTTTTCCTGCACCTCAGCATGAAAACTATTTCTGTTTCATCGCTAGAATTATGGCCCTGTGTTGTCTGAAGCCAGTGTCTTCAAAAACTATTGTTTCACATTTTTTTCTAGTTCTTTGTCATTTCAGGCTTCAGAGTAAATTAAATCCCTGTTATTTAATTCTGGCTGGAAGTGAAAAGTTTCAAATTTAGTGTTAGAAAAAATAATGGGTTTCCAGTGATTCAGGATAACCTATCTTTTGATGGAAAAAGATAGTATGCAACTCAGATTATATTTGAATTATATTTGAATCAGATCATATTTGAAGATATATGTCCTGTTTGGGTTATTTTTCCTATACAACCCTTTTTACTTCTCTTCTTAGGAAACTTATGATTTTTTATCACAGTTTGGCATTTGAATGTATTTCATTTTTGTTGTACTTTTTATTACATATGTGAGTGTCTATATTTAATCAATATTTATAAGGCTCTGCCTATATTTGATCAATAGTCATACATGCTCTATCTTCTACTTTCAAATTGAATTACTATGCATATAACATCTTCAAATTAGTGATAATCAGTTTTTATTTGTTGCTGTTAAAAGAGATTCAAACTTTAAAGATTAAGTGCCGTTGATACTATGTTGTGTAGTGGGGATGTTCAGGATAAATGATGATGTCTTTTAGTAATGATGTCTTTTGATATCAATTTGAGTTTCAGTTGTCTTCACCAACTTAGGTGCCATGTATTAGGCTGCAGTTTCTTTTTAGTTCAGCTGCAACCTGCTTAGAGGAATACTCCAAGCTGACATGAAGAATTTAACTGGAACCTCCCAGAGTCCACTTGGCTTTGTGTTTTGTGAAGCTGTTTTTCTTCCTCTACTCCATGACTTTGGTGCTGTAATTAAAAAATTTCACGGAACATAGATGGAACTTTCTAAACATGCTTTATGAGCATTGTAGTCAAGATAGTACTTATGGACTAAATCTTTTGCTTTAAAATGAACTCTCAATTACTCGCACTTGATGTATTATCTGTGACTTGTCCCCCACGGAAGTTTTCTCCTTCCAGTTCATCCATTGAAGAGCTTCTTTTTCTTCCTTTCTTGACTATTTCTTTTTTAGAGAACTAATTATTTAGTGAGAGAGTTGCAGAAAAGGGAGAGACAGAGAGAAATCTTCCATCTGCTGATTTTCTCCCTAAAAGTCCAATCTCCTTTATAGATTTAAACCGTCGTTATAAAATGGATTATATATTGAAGTAGAATTCTTCTAATTCCCCAAGCATGCATATACTTTTTATTTATTTTAAGATTTTTTATTAAACTAAGTGAATATAAGGTATCAATAAACACTTTTTATGGACATGATTGATTTTATGTATTGCCCTTCCTTTTAGCTTTGCACAGAATCTTCATTAATTCACATAATCAGTATAGTTTTCAATATACCTTTTCAGAGTACACATGCTAATTTGAACATGCGGAAAAGAACAAATGCCTTGGTTCATGCTGAATCAGATGTTGGCAGCAGAACTGAAGTGGGAAACCAGTCAAGCAAATCTGCCACAGTTGCTCAAGAATCCTCTGAAACCAAACCCCAGACTGACTTAGCTTCCAGTCCAAACCCGTTCAGCAAAGCAAATGCAGCTGAAACTATATCTGCTGCAAGAGCACTGACACCTGCTCCTCCTTCTACTCCCAGTCAGACTGCATGTGTGTCTAGACAAGCTTCCATTGGATCTACTTCTGCTCATCACGCGTTTGGATCAAGACTTGGACGGATTAAGACCACAGTTAATACCACAGGGGCTTCTGGGAAACTGTCAACTTCTCCACCAGCTCCTCAACCCTCTGGATCTGGCACAAGTAAAATAGACAAATATGCTCGTATTCTCTTTCCAGTCACATTTGGAGCATTTAACATGGTCTATTGGGTTGTTTATTTATCTAAAGATACTATGGAAAAATCAGAGAGTCTAATGTAATTTTATTGTATGATAGTTTCCTACAAGTTGATAAAATGCAGACTAGCTTTTGCAATGTTTTTTTAAAGATAAATAGTTATTCTTTACAAAAATAAAAGGCTACACATAATTTTTCAGTTCAAAAAAATATAAACCAGCTATTGGGAGAGATAATTTTTCGGTGACAAATAAGTGACATCTTTATTCTGAGAAAAATGATCAGTTCATCCTTCAAATAAGATGAAATGTAGGCCATTCAGAACGTTGAGAAGACAAAGAAGGCTATTAGAAATATGGAGTATACATTTTTTTGCATTGCAATTTAAAGAGATTGTGAAATGTTTAAAATATACCCTATACATGTCATCGGCCATCCTAAATTTCTCAGTGACACTATCCTTAACCAGAACTGTTTATCAGATATCATATGCTTTAGCCTTTGGAAATCCTTTTACTACCTACCAAAAAAAAAGAGATTTATTTCCCTGCTAAATAAAATGTCCATTAAAGGAAACATGGAACAAGGCTGATCAATAGAATAAGACTTTTCTGTGTGAAAGACAAAGACACAAGTCGGGGAAGATGTGTTCCCTTTCATATGCTGGTCAAATAGTTCTTAATAGTTGACTTGAAATTTTGTACTCTGAGCCAAAGCTTAATTCATTGTAAGCATTATTTTTTATAGTAGCTCATTCATTCATGTACTCTCTTCAGTCACTACATAGTTACTAAGCCTAGAGTCCACTGAGCTGGGCACTGTCTCCTAGGAAAGCTCTTTCACCATTATCTACAATATTACTTAAGTAGAATAGTCAATGCATGCTTAAAAAAAAAACACAAGCCAGCAAAAGACAATGCATTCCTTAATAAAAGAAACTTAGAGTCTGGCAACATATCCAAAATTATTTGCTTTTCGTACATCAGTAGCAGGTAACTAGTATATTTGTTCACATAGCTGCTGTGAGGTTAGTAAATGATAGTACAACTTCAAAAACTGGTTTTCAAAATATGAAAATGTGGTATAGATTGTTCTGTCATTGAAAAGCACTATGTACCTGCAGATAAGAATCTGGGAAGTGTAAAACTGAATAGACTCAAATTTGATCAGAATTACATAATAGAATTTGATCAGAACCACTGGAACATTAGAAATAAGAATTCAATATCCCTTCTCAGATGCTTTTCCAAGTGCAAACTTTTATTAGATGGTGAAATAATAAACTTCTTCAGAGTTTTATGTTCATAATTCTGTATTTCTGGGCTAGTTTTGTGTGTGTTCTGGGAATTTTGTTAAGGTTTTGTAACTCATATGAGCATTTTAAAACTAAAGTTGTTACCGAGACAGGACGTGAGGGAGAAATCACAGAAGCAGGGTACCACCCACTGACTGCTAGGAAATGTATCAGGATTTTCATATACTGATGCTTCTGCTTCATGAGGTAGACTTAACAAGATAATTGGATTTTTTGGAGCTGTCTTATACAGCACTATCCAGAACTAATGTGTCGTTTTTGTGTTGCTTTTGCTTTTTCCTTCTATAGCCTTTCTGCCTGCTTCAAAGGATATGAATGAATGTGTCTGGGGAACATTTTGATAGATTCAGCCACCCTGCAAAGAGGATCTTTTATTATTTGGAAATAAACATTAATTAATTGATGTCAACTTTTTGGGTTGAGCTCCATTGTTTGTATCTGAGACCTGTAAAATGTAAAAACACCAAATAGTCATTGTTATCCATATCTGATGATTTCTTGGTTGTCTCTCTAGGTATTTTATAGACTAGACACATTTTAAAGCTCTAAGATTATGTAGAAATCATCGAATCTAAATCTCTATTTTCAAATTTATTATGGTAAAATTAGGTCCAGTAAAATCTGTACATATGTATATATTTAATACAGAGTACTTGTAAAAAATGATTGACCATAAATTATTTCATGAGTGTGAATGGATTTGTGGCCTTGAGGAAATGATTTGAACTATGCTTGGAATCTCTAATAATTCATTATTTCACTGAAATGACCTTATTCCTTTGATGAAGAACAAGTTCCCTTTGCTTACCTACTGATCTACTCTTTTGAAGTATTTTGTCAACTTCCTTTTTTATTTTTCAAAAGATTTTCTTTAAATGTTACAGTTCTTAAATGGATAAAAAATAAATTATTTTAGATTTGTAGAATTGAGATCAAAAGGAACTCATTTTTTTCTCGTGCCCTTACACATGAAGATTTAAAAAAATCAGATGGTCAAACAAACGAGAAATTGACTAAGGATTTTAAACTGTGTACTTAGAAAACAAATAGATTGAAAAATATAAATACTATTGTAAAAAGTATGGAAACATACTGTTAATTATAACTTGTAGATTGTTTAAGAAATTTATTCAATGATTTTTTTTTTAATTCGGGACAAGAATTATGAATAAGAAGAATGCTGACTGAGGATGGTACCTTTGTATGTATCATTTAAAAATAAACTTCAGAATTGATTTCTTTAGTACTAGTACAGTATCTGTATTTCCTCTTTCAGTCTTAGTTGGCGTCTAATTGCAACATAATTATTTTCAATTTCCTCTAGGCAGGACTATGTCTAAAAAGTATATTTACATGACCAATTCAGTTGAAAATGACTTGTATTTGTGCATATGCATAATATTTGATGTGATGTATTTTCAATTGGACCTTAAATATGTATTGGAGTACATATTTAGGCACATGCATTGAAATAATGTATTTTCAATTGGACCTTTCAGCTAAAGTAGGCTGAATGTAAAATCACCCTCTTTGGTGGGTGAAATGAATCATAGAGAAGTTAGTGACAAGATGAAAGCGCAAAGCTGGCATAAACTTTGAAAGATTGTTTTTCAATCACCTCACCTTAGCAGTAATCGGGTTTGTGGTTCATTTAATTACAAACTAGTCATTTCTAACTTAACTAGGGAAAAAAGTTTCCCTTTTTCCCCCTCTCCTGTTTTCCAGTGATTTCCCCCCTTTTCTAATTTTTAAACAACATCTTGTGGAAGGTCCTGGAGAGAAGTCTCCCTTCAAGTTCCAAGTATGTTCTGATTTTAGACAAGTTACTTAATCTTTGTAGGACTGATTTCTCATTTAAAACAAAATGGATTAAATAATACATAATGATGGTTTCAATATTAATATTCTTTCATGCTTAGAGCAAATCTAAGTATATATGTACTTATGTATGTATTATATGCACTTAATATTTTGTGCCATACATAGATGATTAATTATGGAAAATAATCAGTTCTACTGTTTGATTATATGAATCTGTGACTTGCTGCAAGTAATATTTTCTTAATTCTAAAAATAAAACTCAGAGAAATTAATGCCTCTCCATTTACATTTGATATTTCCTGCATCACAGAAGATTTTACTCTTTACATTTATAAAGATATTGGTTATTTCTCCTTCGGCTTTTTTAAGCATTCATGTAAATAAATTCTTTGCCAGTACTGGTACTGTTTTAGATAGACAAAGATAAAATTGATTCCTTTCCTTGCAGGTGGTCAAAACCTGGTGGTGATGACTGATGTGAAGAAAAAAGTATGGAGTATAAAAAGTAGAAGGTCTAAGACTAGAGCAACACCTTAGGCACTAGTGTGTTGGAGGACACCAAAGCCCACAATAATGAAGATAAGTAACAACCTAAAAAAAAATTTAAAGCATAATATGCATATGTATGATGAGCAAAATACACACATTTAAATAAACATAGCAGCAGATAAGTAATGTTTCTTTTAGCCTTAGACTCCAATTTTACTTGGCATGACGTGAATCTAGGTGGTTGGAGGATACACAAAACTTCATAGATTTGTTGAGGAAGAAGGCAGAAAATAAATGATAGGGAAGGGCTCAAAGAATTGATCCTTTGGTGTTTTTAGACCCAATACTACACTTCCACTAAGAAAAACAGAAAACACATTCTAATGACCAGGATAAGCATGAGAAAGGATGACGTTTTTTTTTGCTTGTTTGTTTTGTTTTGTTTTGTTTTTTAGTTTTAAAGCAAGATTGATTAGAAAAGTTGAGAAAGGATGAAGTTTTTAAAGGTAAGAAGAAACACTTAGGGTAAATGCAATCTCAGAATTCCATCATCTGCAAATTAACACCTCATGATGATCATGCCGAATAACTTCGTACAGTTCTTTTCAGAGGAGCAGACTGATGAAAATGCACAGTTGCATATATGCAAAAATGTGTCATGTATTAAAGCTGTTATTAAGTGTTAAAAATTATTTTAACATTAAAAACTCTAACGTAAAAAGGAAGAACTTGTTGAAATTTGTGCTGTGTCTCTTCAAAGCTGTGGACTTCAGAGAATTCTGCTGATTTATACAGATTACAAGCTTTATTTAAGCAACATTTTCTCCTGTTACATGTCTAAATAATTTTGTTCTTTAGGAATGTTAATTATGCTAAACCTGTTTTGTCTACAACTATTTATAATCTTCTCTATAATACATGTTGTATCAAATTTTGTCAATCCTTAAGCTTCGCTGAAGTAGGTTTTCAATCATGGCTGTTTCATTTTATAACGTCTATAATCATTTTCAACTTTATGGATTTTCTAAAAAATTGCCTTTTTGATCTCTGCCACTTCATTTTCCATTTGTTTTTGCCCGTTCCAAAATGATCTCTTTATCAACATCTATCTCTTCTTCTGAGCTCCCCAAGCTCCATTCATAAGATCATGTATATAGTATTTGGTTTTTGTTTTAAGAATATCAAGCTAGTTTTGTAAACTTTTCTTATTTTTCCTGAAAATAGTTTTCCCTAGTATGCACTTCTCATTTTTTTTCTTTCTTTGCCAATCTTGCATGCTGGTTTCTCTGTGTTCATCACTGACTCACATAGGAGGAAACGGTGAGAAGCTAGATTGTAGGAACCCAGAGAAGCTATTTCTGCGTCAGATTTCAAGTGCACCTTTCTTCTTCCCACTGACCATATGCTTTTCCACTTTTGATATTCAGGTGCTTTGTGTAGCTTACAGTGTGAGTTCTTCTTCCCCTCTCTCCCTATATTGTTACTGCTAAAAATTTTTTTTCACTCTCTTCTGTGTCCGTTTGAATCTAATAGTTACAGACTGTTGCATAGTGTTCAAATGTAGACAATCCATGTTCTTTGCACTACCAATATTTTCTCAATTTCTGAATATGTAGCTGGAATTGTATCAAGATTGATGCTGTTTTTCTCTTGTCTGTGTACTAAACGTCTCCTGGAGCTGATCTTTGAAGGCACCTCGGTACCATTAAAAGTAATGAGATCTATATCCTGCTAGAGAAACATGCCAGTCACATCCTTTTCTTCCGTCTGGGTAAATATCTCCATGTTTACTAGATAAATAAAAACTATTATCGAAGTTTGTTATCAATTATTTATTAAAGATAGATCATGTTTTGATTGTGTTTTAAAAAGTTATGTCATTTTTGGAGAGTATCATACAAGGGAAT